CAGTCTGCCGCCACAGCGGCCGTCGCATCGGGAGAACAGGGTCCGCCAGTGCGGTCCACCGCCCCTGCCGCCGCTACTACAGAGCAGTGCCCGCCAGCGCAGTCTGCCGCCGTCGACACCTCAGGCCGAGTGACCCCAGCAGGACTGGAGCAGTGCCCGCAAGCACGGTCGGCCGCCGCCTGGGATCGGCATACTCACACAAAGCCGGAGGCTATACCTGGCCCCTCTTTCATATCGGTCAGTCTCATGGATGTTATGGAAGGCCTTAGGCTGACTCAGCTCAAAGTGGATAAAATTTCTGATGAACTAGGTGAGGTGAAAAACTTGCTTCACGTTCTGCTGTGTCAACAACCACAAACACCTGCCATTTCAGTGGAGAGTGATCCACCAGTGAGTGATAGGCGTGATGATTACATAAGGCAGGATAACCCAAAACGTAATGAAAATGTGCGCTCTCAACGTCCAAGTGACACAGGATTACTGGTTGTAGGTGACTCTAATGTCCGCCGTCTTAAGCTATGCAACACTCGAGCCAACATATCGTTTCGATCAATCCCTGGCGCTGCAACTGAGCATGTTGAACGTGTGGTTCAGGCGTCAACAGAAACCGTTGCTCCTAACGTAGTTCTCCACGTAGGTACAAATGACCTGACGCGTAACGGGTCGGAGCAGATAGTCTCGAATTTGGTGAAACTAGCACAACAGACAAAGAAAAGATCAGGAGTCAGACAAGTATACATCTGCAGCGTAACGCCTAGAAAAGATATCGGTTCATTTGTATACAGCAGGGCCGAGAGCGTAAACAACAGGCTTCATTCCCTCTGTCCCAAGCTAGCTGGCATAGAGTTCCTAGACTTGCGTCAGTGTCTTGACAGATGTCCATTTACCGGCCTCGTAAGGGATGGTGTTCATTATAACAAAGCAGGTGCTACACAAGTTCTGAACACCATAATGGACTCAGCCGGCAGTTTTTTAGCATAAATGAATGCAATAGTCCGAATGTTGAAGATTCAACATTCTTTAGCGCGAGTACCGAAAATGTGACCGGTCAAGCAAGCAATAAGAAATGTAAATATAGGCAAGCTAATAGAACAAATAGGGACTTGTCATTTGTACTCCTAAATTGCAGGAGTATAAGATCTGAAAACAAAGCAAGGGAGTTTAAATTGTTTGTACGAGAACACAACCCTGATGTCATTATGGGTACCGAGTCATGGCTAACAAACGACATAAGTGATGCGGAAATATTCCCACATAACTATGTAACATACCGAAAAGACCGTTGTGACAGGACGGGGGGAGGAGTTTTTATATGTATCAGAGAAAGTATAACTAGTTACAGGGAGGATTGGAATAATACCGATGAATGTGAGGCGATTTGGTGTAGGGTCATTGATAAGGGAAAGAAACATTATATCATAGGGTGTCTTTATGACCCACCTAGTGACTGTGAACTTCGGCTATCCGAATTCTTGTCTGTTCTCGAGCAAAAAGCACTATCCACAAATTCCAGAATCATTGTCGGTGGTGATTTTAATCTTCCAGATATAGATTGGACCAACATGATCAGCTCGACTGGTGGAAGATACCGCAACAAAAACGATATTCTAGTAAATGTTGTGAATAGTTATGGATTGGAGCAAATGGTTAAGGTACCAACCAGGGTAACTGAACACGCTAGCAACATTCTGGACATAATTATAACTAACGTTCCTCAACTAGTTAACAACCTTCACACATGTTTGGGCATTAGTGACCATTTAGCTGTGATATTCCAAACCCAGGATGTAGCACGACAACCAAAAGTAAAACGAAAGATAAAACAATATAATAGAGCCAATTTTGAAGATATAAATCAGCGTCTTTATCAATATTTCATACAATTTCGTGAAGAAGCACTTTCACGGACCGTTGATGAAAACTGGATTATGTTCAAAGAGGCGATAAGTAATGTAGAAAGTAGCATACCTACCCGTGCCTTTACCATTAACGGAGATCCTCCGTGGTACAGTCTTAGACTTAAACGTCTCGAAGACAAACAGAGACGGTTTCATCGAGAAGCAAAATTTTACAAATCTGCTGTTTCTCTGCAAAGGTATAGAGAAATTCGGGCGGTTGTAAAACAGGCATACAAAGAAGCAGAGTCCAATTACAAAAGTAGGCTTGGGTCGCTCTTGAAAGAAGACAATATACATTTTTGGAAGTATGTTAAAGCAAAAAGGACTAAAAAAACGGGCATTACCTCTATTGTATCCGAGAGTGGGAACATTGTCCACAACCCGGAGGATATAGCAAATATTCTTAACAATCAATACAAAGGGATATTTTGTGAGGAAGATGATACAGATACAACATCATTGAGCGATTGCACTCGCACGTCGGAGGTTATGCCGCCGGTTCTTATTAGTTATCATGGCATCGTAGGCCTCTTACAAAATATTAAGGTCCACAAAGCGTGTGGCCCTGATGGCATTAGCGGGGCTATTCTAAAACATTGCGCAGAAGTGGTCGCAATGTACCTCAAAATGATTTTCGAACAGTCTCTTGATATGAAAGACATTCCTCACGATTGGCGTCAAGCCACAGTGCACCCAGCTTTCAAAGGGGGCAGTACCAAAGAACCTGTAAATTATCGTCCAATTTCGCTCACATGTATATGTTGTAAAATGATGGAGCGTATTTTAGTTTCCCATATTGTGATGCACCTAGATGATTTTGACCTATTCTCTGATAGTCAGCATGGATTCAGAAGACATCTTTCTTGTGAGTCACAACTGTTACTGCTTTATCAGGATATTATGTCATCCATTGACAAGAAAAAGAGTGTTGATTTGGCATTCATTGACTTCAGTAAGGCGTTTGATAGGGTTCCACATAAACATCTCTTAACTAAACTAAAAATGTATAATTTAGATGATAACGTTCTTGGCTGGATTGAAGCCTTCTTATATAATAGAACGCAGAGAGTTCTGGTTAATAATTGTTATTCTGATGTGATTAGAGTTACGTCCGGTGTCCCACAAGGGAGTGTATTGGGTCCAATATTATTTCTTTTATATATTAACGATCTTCCGGATATGATTAATTGTCAGATAAAATTATATGCAGATGATGTTGTTCTTTACACAGACATCTTAAGCAATGAAGAATGTAGTTTTTCGTTACAGGCAAATATAAATAGATTATCTCAATGGTGTTCCAAATGGAAAATGTCTATTAATGTTGGAAAGTGTGCTATCATGAGAATGACAAAGCAAAAACTTGCTGCAATGCCTAGATACTATTTGAATGGAATAGAAGTTCAGGTTGTCAATGAGTTCAAATATTTAGGCGTGCATATTTCGAATAAATGTACCTGGCAAAATCATGTACAACATGTCACTGGTAAAGCGAATCAGATGCTACGATTTATTAAGCGAAATTTCAAGGATTGCCCACAGGCTGTAAAGGAAATCATGTATTTGTCCCTTGTTAGGCCACATCTAGACTATGCCAGCTCTGTTTGGGACCCATGGGGAGAGGGGCATGAAGCATGAGCTGGAAATGGTTCAAAGGCGTGCTGCTAGATTTATACTTAATGACTACGACCGACATAGCAGTGTTACTGACATGCTGGCCACAATAGGATGGGTATCCCTAGAAAGCCGACGTAGAGAGGCGAGATTATGCCTACTGTACAAATTACACCATGGCAACATGAAAGTAGATGTTAGTAGAATTATATGTGAACCTAGCTATATATCACGGAGTGATCACCCTAAAAAGATAGAGAGACTTCCGTCGAGATTACTTCAGTACCATAACTCGTTTTTCCCAAAAACCATAAGAGAGTGGAACCAACTTTTGCCCAGCATGATGGAAGCCGAATCTGTGGAAGATTTCCGGAAAAACGTTCAAACACATGTAAATTCGGCGTAAACGTGATTGTAATTGAAATTGCTCATGAGTAATGCAGAATGAATCAATCTAAAATCAGTAGTAATGTGAGTAGGTATGTACTTGTGTGTATGTACTTGTGTGTATGTGCGATACTGATGTGTGCATGATGTGTGAACCAGATTTAACATCACCAGGGCCAACCGGCATTCGTGATTGTTGTAATACATGATACATGATAACGACGCGGAGCTGTGACGGAGTTTGTGCTATGACATGACATCGTGACACTACTGATATTAAAACAGACAGCAGGGTTTGCGTAATAGTTTAAATCATCTCGAAGAGCGGTCCACTTGGCCGTTGCAGGTGGCACAGCGACTGCCTGATGTCAGCGTTATTCACGCATGTATTTGCGATTGCGCTACCAGGCTATTTACCATAGTTGAAACAGCCGCGCCAGTTTTCTAATGCATGTCTTCGTTCTGCACAATCAATGTTTTTCCGTCATGACCTAGGCCGCAGTGTAAGACCGGGCCGGTAGCAGAGGCGATATGGTGCCGAATACGGTCCGTGTGGTGACTGGTGGCTCCGGACGTGCCACCCCCCCCCCCCCCTCAGTGGGAGGCGACGCCCCCAAACCAGGCTGTCGACCAGTCAGCCGCCTGCCCACGGAGCGGTCCTCGGGTAGTGATTGAACAAACAGCGGAGAAGACTGCCAAGTCACGATCGACCACATGACTCGTCATTGGTTACCAACTTGAGAGCGAAACCGGCACAGGCTGGCGTCCTTATATGAAATGGTCGTCACAAACTGGAGGCATGCCGGGCTCATCAGACCTTGATGACTTAGTGCACATCGTTTTGACATCACGCAGCCGTAATGAGCCCTTCAGGCCTGACAGACGGCCGCGCGTAGGCGGCATATGGTCAGAGTCGAGCACTTGCTCACCGCAGGTAGCCGCATCAGTGTAGCCGTGTCCTAGATTAGACCGGGAAAATATGGCATATTCAGTACCCTGAAACAGCTGCCTCCGCCACTACGATTTGCAGCGACTAAAATACACGGAGCATGCCGAGGGTCGAACGCTCGACCCTCGGCACCGACAGCCAGCTGAACTCACCGTGTTGACCCTGTCGTCCCCACGGGTAATCTCCGAGAGAGCAGCCTCGTTGGCGTTGGCCAGCGCCAGCCGGATCAGCTCACTGGAAACATATAACGGGATCCAGGAGATGTTCAGTTTAATGAAAAACAATATCAAATTCTTATCTGTATTCAATGTAAACGCGTTTCGATTATTTCTTTATCAATACATTGATACAATACAGATATAATGATTATGAACACACAATATACAGTATCAGGAGAGCTTATGTTTCCATGGAGCATTTTTACGGCCTTGGCAGGATAAGAACCTTGAAAATTGAGCAGTAGTTATCTGGAAGTTGAAGAATCCATCATATTACAGACAACGTAGTCGCACTTGATGAAGCAAAGTAACACAAAAAATGTTTCTCTTTTGAGAACGTGTCATCGACAGCGAAACAAGCATCAGTTTGCTAGTAAGTACTAAACATGCCATATTTTTAGGATGACCTCTGCATCGGCATGGATTTCCATGGCATCGGTTACCTTCAATGCAGTTAATGGCATTGACTTTTGGGTCAGCGTAAAGCCGGGGAGAGTCGACTGCTGGTGTGATCTATAGTCTGGCAGGGCCTCTGGCGGATGGTATGAGTATAGCTTCCGTGGGGTAGTCCTGGCCCTGGGTGCCTGTTGGATGTTTATGTAGGGTAGTCCTGGGTGTCTGAATTGTGACTTACCGTTATATACTCTTCGGTGGGGCAGATACTTATCTACGTGGGGTTGTCCTGTGTGTCTTTACTTACGTGGGGTAGTCCCGTGTGTCTCTGTGGATAATTACGTGGGGTAGTCCTGTGTGTCTCTGTGGATAATTCCGTGGGGTAGTCCTGTGTGTCTCTGTGGATAATTACATGGAGTAGTCCTGTGTGTCTCTGTGGATAATTACGTGGGGTAGTCCTGTGTGTCTTTACTTACGTGGGGTAGTCCTGTGTGTCTCTGGTGGAGCAGATGCCGGTCGGGTTCTGGGCACATTTCGGCGTCTGTCTGAACACCAGCTGCTGCCGCGGGGGTTCCGAGTGGCGCGATGTCTCCGACTGCTGAGGGGGCCCCGGCTCGGGCTCTGTGGGGTCACAGGGAGGTCAGATACTGCTGAGGGGGCCCCGGCTCGGGCTCTGCCGGGTCACAGGAAGGTCAGATACTGCTGAGGGGCCCCGGTTCGGGCTTTGTGGGGTCACAGGGAGGTCAGATACTGCTGAGGGGGCCCCGGCTCGGGCTCTGCCGGGTCACAGGGAGGTCAGATACTGCTGAGGGAGCCCCACCTCGGGCTCTGTGGGGTCACAGGGAGGTCAGATACTGCTGAGGGGTGACCGGCTCGGGCTCTGTGGGGTCACAGGGAGGTCAGATACTGCTGAGGGGGCCCCGGCTCGGGCTCCGTGGGGGCCAGAGAGAGGTCAGATACTGCCGAGGGGGCCCCGGCTCGGGCTCTGTGGGGTCACAGGGGGGTCAGATACTGCTGAGGGGGCCCCGGCTCGGTCTCTGCCGGGTCACAGGGTGGTAAGATACTGCTGAGGGGGCCCCGGCTCGGGCTCTGTGGGGTCACAGGGAGGTCAGATACTGCTGAGGGGCCCGGCTCGGGCTCCGTGGGGGCCAGAGAGAGGTCAGATACTGCTGAGGGGGCCCGGTTCGGGCTCTGTGGGGGCCAGAGAGAGGTAAGCTACGACCGGAAGCCGAGAGGGCCTCTGCCGGTTAAAGAGGGAGGTCAGATATTGCTGGAATATGTCCGACTAGTGGGACGGGAGAGGGAGAGGGAGCTCAGGCTGGTGGAAGGCTCCGGTTCAGCCTCTGTCAGGTCACCGGGTGACCAGATACAATATAACTACAGACAGCAAAGAGATGCGTGCAAAGATGGAGGGGGCGGAAGTTGAAGGATATGTGAGCAATTACGAATTCACAGAGCACTTCAGCAGATGTTCATTTATTGGAAATTCACAGGACACGATTGTTTTCATATTGAGCACAGTAGGTTCAAAAACCTTCCAGACGTAAAAATGAGGTTCTGCACCCCCCACCCCCCCTAGAAATGGCGAACAGTCGTATTGTAGAACGAGGAGCTATGCGTGAACTGAAGAGTTTTCAAAATATAACTTACCGCCGCCGGGGAAAATGATGCTGGCTGCCCGAACCTGACTGGCTAGCAGCACCGCCGACAATAAAGCCTGGGCGCAGAAGAGAACAGCAGGGTCAGAATATAGGTAAAACGGAGAACAGGAACGTCAAAAGCTGTGCGTTGCGCATAATTTTAAACGTGCATGCACCTGTGTACAGAACATACAGCGGAAAACAAACAACTTCTCGTTAACCCTCGCCCGTATTGGTGTTTTTCCAGCCGCGAACGTTTAAGGGGGGGGGGGTCCGTTGGACCCCCCCTTGCCGTTTCGCCCCTGATCGAGCTAGAGCTTCGCGGAAAAAAACGAGCGTGTTGCCCGTGACAAGAGGAAGCCGATGATACCCAATTTTAAGGTCCTAGGTCATTGGTTGACCTTGCAGGTCAGGTCAATGACCCCAAAGGCGGGAAAATCGGGCTCTGTTAGAACGTCGTAAAGTGTGGCTGCTATGAGGTTTTTCGGGGTGCTGATCACGAATATCATGTTAGTTTTGATCACAGATGATGTCTTCATGTATTTAGGCCAGGTCGGGTCAGGTCAGGTCAGGTCAACCAGTAAGGGTATTCGTAGTAGGTGGCAACCACCTCTGACAGCTTCGTAACATGTTACGAACTACGAAGGCACCAAAACTACTTCGTAAATGTTCATATGGTTGCAAAATTCGAATTCAGCTCCAAAAACTGGCCTAGAAACATGTAAAACTCGAAAAAGTGAGCCGAGGTCATCAAAGGTCAATGACCTGACCTGACCTTCAGGTGACCTTGACACCCACCCTAATGCATGGGAGCAACATCATATCACATGTTTGAACGCTTGAAACCACGAAAAGACTGCAAACGCGCGGCTAATGCGAGCCGACATACGCCGAATCGCGATTCCAGCCAAACATGGTCTCGAAAAGTAGGTCACAGGTCAAAGGTCATTTGGGTCAGGGTCATGAAATTTTCAGGGTAGGTGTGAAATTGATGAAACGTGAGGGTGCTGAAAGTTTCGTCGCGATCGGCCGCTTTTTACGCGAGTTATTTGCGAAAAACCATGGTGGGGTCCGATCGACCCCCCCCCCCCCCTATACGGGCGAGGGTTAAATTCTGAGAAATGGAGCGAGCGCTATGCATCGAAGTAGTTATTGTGGAAGTTTTCGAACTGGGTGAGGGTGGATCTGCAGATAAACAGCTCCGAGAGCCTGGCAGTCGATCGGAATGTGGTGCGACGTCACGACACCGCCTCTGTTTACTGTACTTTCTCTGGGCACAGGCCGCAGCTAATAGCTTTTTAGCGTGTTTGTAAAGTCAGTGGTTCGCGGACCCCGATGGCGCAAATACCAGTCGCCCCGAACGTGGTGTATTGCACAATGCACAGTGCAGATGCACCAATCTGACAGCCAAACGATCTGAGAGACAATTTTCTGTTTACAGTTACACACTCGTAACTCAACAGGATACCAACTGAATTTCCTATTTCTTTCATCATAAGATTGCCTGTACAATACATTGCTAAGTCTTCACTGAGATCTTAAAGCGAATCGATCATAGCAGCTCGGTAAGCAGCGCAACGCTCAGACGGAACCGTCTGGCGCCGGCAGCGAGAATCAGCCGGCGCCGGACGGCCGCTCCGGCGCGATTGTTGACTTAACGTAACACCACAACTAATGAAGTTGTAGACTGATTTACATACTGCTTTCACCGCAATATGCGCAATTCAATTCTAGGTAGGTACTGAGAGTTTGACGTTTATAGAATAATTCGGTGTGAGATATTTGCGAATAACATAATGGTGGGTGACATTGCCCCCTCCACCCTCTCTTTCACTGCGCATGTTAAATCGACAAAGATGAAGTCTCTTACGGAAGCCAATGATCCCGTATTTAGTTGCATACGCCCATCTGATGTCCCGGGACATCGACACATGTCGTGAATACGCAGAGCAGTACCTAGAGGTCGGTGAGGAAAAGCGCGTGTCCACAATGCCGTTCTTTGCAACACACCTCGTACTGAGTGATGAACATCACTGTGACACGCAAAAAGCCTCGACTGCTGAAACTGATACCTACATACGGCCCCTTTGGTGAGGTATATGACCGTGGTGCTGCTGAATGGTATACAGCCCGTACCAGTGATGGCGCACCAGATTAACGACTCCGTATGCACTGAGCTCGTGAAGGGCCAGTTAGCCAGGTGGCACATTTAGATATGCCGATGTCCTTCTGCACAGGACCCAGTGGCCTCAATGTCAGTGTGATAGCCACCGTGAAGGGAGACTCAATGTACTGCAGGTGTCCTCGACCCTGCCTCCTTTCCGTCTCTGAGTTTGACAGGTGGTGGTGAGCCTTATAGTGCCTAGTCTGTGAGCAAACAGTGAAGTCTTTTAACCCGCGAGTTGCTGGGGGGGGGCGTTAAACGCCCCCACTTTTTTTGCCGGGCCATAGCATAAAAACGGCGCGCCGCAGGCGCGCCAAATTTTGGGTACCTGTAGGGAATTGATTGAAGTCTATTGTGACAAAAAAAAAATTAAAAAATCGGTTGGAAAAATTTTGAGATATCGAGGTTTTAGTGACGTCATGATTTCTGAGTTTTCGACCAAAAACGGTATAGGTATGTTCAAAAAATCATATAAAATCACAGAATAGACATACAGACATGCCGTAAACGGCGTTAGACTGCCAATACCATGAACAATCAAATGGCTATCTTCGATTATGATTATCGTTTCGCATTTGCCAAAATCTTGATCTGAATCTTGGTAATTTCTCGTGACTACTTCACGACCATGATACATACATTTCTTAAATTGAACTTTTTGAGCCAAACACGTACATATATGATAAAATGGATGTCACCATCGTGTTCTACGCCCCAAATTACCCATAAAACGTGTGTCACAGGCTGCGAATATCAGTTTTGATTTTCGGGAATATGTGCCTACCCGGTTGACCTGACCTTGACCCTGACCTATGCTTGACTGACCCCTACATGGGGCTGACACTCTTGTAGGCCTTATATGATGGATTGTGCACCGTTTTGACAGAGTTTATGACGAGAGGCGCTCATTGCGAAGTCCTGAAGTCCATGCTACTGAAAGCCCGATTTCAGGTGTTTGACCTGACCTTGACCCGACCTTTGACCTCAAAATTCAACTTTAAAGTACTCATCTGAAGCGTCTCGTCGTGCTCTTTCGTTTGCCGCCTGGTGCGTTTTCGCTGCGCCTATTGGTTCTCGAGTTATCGGCTGGGGGCGTTTAACGCCCCCCCCCCCCAGCAAACGGTGGGTGGCGAAATACCCCAGCAACTGCCGGGTTAAATGTCATCGACTTTGTGAATTAATTTGATATGTCTTCATGCTAACTGTCGAACTCTTGGTTTTGGCAAAACTGTAAAAGCTGTTCAGAGCAGCGTGAGCTGTTATGCGCCAAATCGACTGGCTCCGTCACTTCCTAAGCGTATATTTATCAGTCAGTTTCAATCAGCTCAAGATATCGCGACAGAGGGAAAACAGCAGCCTTTAGTTTTTAACGGACACAATGGCCAGCCTGATTGTCTTTGTTTACATGCTGCACGATTTCGTAATCTGCTGCTTGTACAGGAGCGCCTTTTAATGAGTTAATCACTCCAGTTTTACTATATCTGCAGGAAGCGCAGCCCGATAGCGTCTCAGCGCTGGTCAGGAGCTGTTGCTGCGGTTTTCCTCTGCCGACACACACAATGGTCCTTGCTAAGGAAACCCGACCGCCGCTATACCACGGACCACACACTGCACAATAATCAGAGCGGTGACAGCCCGGAACATTTCTACCGCAACGCAGACTTGAGCCTGAGCAGCCCAGCCCGCATCAGCCGAGAGAAGCCGCAGGGCACAATAGCGAGGGATAGTTCATGGTGGATAAGCGCAGGCACGAAGACCACTGATACGTTGACATTTACATAGATCTTACAATAGGTACATGACATTATCTAAACAGGCCATTGTTCGTTGTTTCCATCTGTGAAATCAGAAATGGACGTACCTTCCTCACACCGTGATATTTATGGCAGAAAAGGGCACCGCGAGCTCCCATGGATGTAAACATTGAGCTTTTCTGGTAAGATCTCTTATGACACGTGCTACGAGAGCCCGTCCATTGAAACTGCGGGTTCTTTAACCGCGTCCAAGGTAGCTTGCAAAGCGGTTGTGGGTTTGTGGCTGGAGCGTTTTCCTTAAAAGAGATCAATAAATTGCAGCTACCGAACCGTGCATTAGTGATACTCAAGCACGTGCCACGTACGACTAGTACACGTGTGACCGTGTCATGCGCCACGGCCGGAGTGTTAGGATGTCGGGCGTCACCACGTCTTATGACCACGTAGCCTTGTCGTAAGACGCACCCCAACTTTCCACCACCCACGCCCGAATGCTCCATGTTTGCACGTACAAAGCCACATAACGGGAATGCCGGATAGGTGATCGAAGTATGTATTTTTTATTTTTTTATATTTTTTATAATTTATTATCACAAACAGCAAATCCGATCAGGGTTGTTTCTGAAAACCGCGCCGGGAGCGGGGGAGGTCCGTCCAGGTGTTCGGAACTGCGGCGATTGCTGCTGACGGAGATCTGACGTGTTCACGACGTGTAAACAGCGGCTAGCGGACGGATTACACGAGGTTATGGCTGGTGCACTGCAATACGTTCCGGGAAGGACCACCGAAATGGCACGGGCAGACTGGCTTGGAGGTCGGATATGCAGATAGGGAAGCAGGCGGAATATTTTCATGCTATCCTGGCACGTGCTCTCCGCTCAGGTACACAGATATAAATCAAAGAAACGGTGGGAAGATAACATTTAAATATGCATTTATACCTAGCAGTAGGCATTTAAGAAATTTCATCTTTTTGTCAGGAAACAAGAGATGAGCAAGTGATTACAGTCGGGGAGATAATTTTACAACGACTAAAACTTGCAGAGTCCCGTCAGTTTATAGTGCAGCTCGTGTCGACACAAACAACTTAGGTATTGACACCTTCTGGGAATCACCATGAGGACCTTTGGAAGCAGCCCATAAGTATATAATGCACATT